CACATACACGTACGCATATATACATATATACACATACACGTACGCATATATACATATATACACACTCATATATACATATATACACATACACGTATGCATATATACATATACACATACACGTTTGCATATATACATATATACACATACACGTACGCATATATACACGAACACGTACGCATATATAAAAATATACACATACACGTACGCATATATACATATATACACATACATGTACGCATATATACATATATACACATGCACGTATGCATATATACATATATACACATGCACGTACGCATATATACATATATATATACATACACGTACTAATGTTACTAATGAATCATGTATTTTCAAGGTTTGGCCTTCTCCTCAGGGTGAACTCAGACCAAGGTACACACTTCACAGCTGAAGTGATGAAAAAACTGTGGAAGATGCTAGGCATCAAAGTCAACTTCCATGTTGGCTACCACCCACAGGCCTCAGGCCAAGTGGAGAGAGCAAACAGAACTGTGGTAAGTATTTTGAAGAAATACGTAGCCGCAAACCACAAGCACTGGGATGTGAAACTCCCTCTGGTCCTCATGGCCATAAGGGCCACTCCACACACATCGACTGGCATCTCTCCCTTCGAGATGATGACGGGTCGACAAATGACTCTCCCTCTACACCTGTTGTACCAACCAGGCGATGCCGCCATGGCAACAGCCTACACCACACAACAATACATGAATGACTTGGAAAAACATCTTAAAAACACCTTTGCTTTTGCCCAGAGAAACCTGGAAAAATCTGCTGAAGGACGAAAGGCGTATTATGACCAAAAGGCCTCTCACGAGGAACTTCAAGTGGGAGATAGGGTCTGGTACTACACATTCGCCCCCACAACCGGGAAATGATGTTAATGATGGCCGCGCTCAGAGCAGTTGCAGCTTCACAGGCTCCCGGTACCATCCCAGTTTTTAGAAGTTTTGATATTGACTCTGTGCCTGACTCTGCGCGATTTATGCGTGTGAACTATAGCCGAACCGAACTGATGAGAATAGGAGCGGATTTGCCACGAAATATAGCAGAAATCAGCAACAAACTCAAAGCTACGCTCGGCAGAATGCAGATCTTAAAGTCATCTACCTGGAAGCTGCAGCAGAGACGTTCCAGCGGGCAGAAGAGGAAGCGCTGCTCCCGGCTTAAGAGGAGAGGATGCCGGGCGGGGGTTATGGTGAGGCTACGAGCTAACGCTAAAGCCGGTAAACTCCCCATGCCGTCTCTCTTTCTGTCGAATGTCCGCTCGTTGGACAACAAGGTGGATTTACTTCGTCTGAGAGCGGGCGCCTCAGAAGAGATGAAGAAGTGTGCGGTGCTTTGCCTCACAGAAACGTGGATTACAAGTGAAACGCCGGACTCAGTCTTCCAGCTGGATGACAGACTTTTATTTCGAGCGGACCGCTGCAGCGAGCTAACGGGGAAATCACGGGGGGGCGGAGTGTGCATTTACGTGAGTAAAAGTTGGTCCACGAACTGTACTGTTGTAAATAGCTCATGCTCGAAGGCTTTGGAGCAAATAACAGTGAAATGTCGGCCACATTATCTACCCCGAGAGTTCACAGTGACTTTTATCACAGTTGTTTACATTCCTCCGGACGCTAATGCTAATGAATCACTACAGGAGCTTCATGATATCATCAGCTCGCTG